CCAACCGCTGCTGCTGGCGTTGCCAGGCCTCCGCCAAATATAGCAGAGTGTTGTACATGACCTCTTTGCTGGCAAACTGAGCTGGCTGAGCCTCAGAGGGACCATGCGTGATATCTTGCAGTTGAGGAGAGAATATCCTGTTTAGGAGGTTAAGACTCATGTATGCTAAGAAATTTCTGGAAGAATTTTGCTTACGTGAAGAATAAAACCTTTCACAAGAAACAGGATTAACTGCAGCAATTTGTTGTAGCTCTGTGGTATTCTCAGGCTTTAACAATGGAATGTATTAAATTATCTACATGCATTGAAAAGGTAAATTAAAAACATCCATTAACAACTCTGAATCTTTCTTATTCTACTAAGTATCGTGTGGGAAACAAAAATGTCTGCCAGAACCTGTTTGTTTTTTTTTTTATTTTGGGTGCTGGAGTATTTGCACAGCTGTATTTTTTTATGGTAGTGTTTTCTGTGTTAGGTTGGCTGGTCTATCGTGCTACCTGCTACCAGAGAGCCAGCTGGTGGAGGTGGGTAACGTGATGTAAACCTTGCCGACAGCAATACGAAAACATGATTGCTCTAAAGGTTGCAGTACAATTGAGCTGGTTTGATCAGTGGACTGGTGGGAACCTGTGTCTGCCTGTTTGTTTGGGGGTGGCCAAAACCTGGCCCAGAAGGGCTTTAGAGGTTAGGGTGGCTTTGCAGGGATGCTGGAACCCCTCCCTTTCCCTGTACCCGCCTGCCCATGTTGGGCTCAGTCACATCCTAGCTCTCCTGTTCTCTGGTAGTGTGCTAGGGAAGAAGAGGACTGCTACTGATCCAAGGAAAGGAGAAAGAAATGTTCTATCCCACTGCTGCGTGAAGGTACCGAGGGCCAAGTTCTGGGTCTTTGAAACTGGGGCTCCAGGTGACTTCGAGCAGGGCTGTGCTGGGCTCTAGAGTGGCATGATGTGAAGGGGGAGGCTGCTCAGTGGGTTTGGTGCATCAGTGATACAACCGTCAGTTGATCAATCGAGTTGAACCGTCAAGTGATACAATCTCAGTGTCAGCCTGCAATCAGAAGCGTAGCACCGCCGTTGCAGTACAGCGCTCGGGTTTTCTTTTGTCTTTCGCTTAGGTGACCATATGGGGCGGATTGACCTTGGCTGGTCAATAGACCAGAGAAAATAGGTTGAAAAGCTGCTTTAGATGGATGAAGAAATAAATGCGTTCTCTTGTAGGCCCAGAAAAATAGAAAGAAAAGAGTTTACTGGCAGTTTTCTGCTGAAACCCGTTCCTGGCAATCGAGTCATCTTGAAATTACTGGGCAGGTTTTTTCTCTGGGTGAATTTGCAATTTTGTGGATAACTTTTTTGATTTCAGGGATAATCTGAATTCTGGCAAATTCATTGATTCTAAGGCGTTTCTCCTAAGATGCTTTTTCCTTCATTGAAACATTCCAGAAAGGAAAGTTTTTCTGACTGCTTAGCAGTTAAGCTTGAGGTCCCGAAGTTTCTTCAAAGTCATTACTTCATGGCAAAGCAATGATTGCTTATTGGACTGTCTGTCTACCAAAAAAATGTGTTCTGCTCCACGGCAGTTAGTTTATGTGGCTGAAGTTTTGAAATAGCAGTGTTTCTCCCCAGTGTGCTGAAGCTGTTCTCTGAAACTGTGCTGTAGTTTGCATACAGAGTTGAGTCTTTAGGCTAAAAATAATTTTAATAGAATATAAAGGAATATTAAGAATCAGCATTGGGGTAGTAAATTTTGGCTACCCAGAACGGAGTTTTCTGTACCAGTATTTAATCCCGTTTGCTCCTAATGTTTTCACAGTATAACAGTATCATTTTAGAGATACTGTCAGTGTTAAGAGACCATGGACTGACCCAAAGCACTTCATGCTGCCCAGGAATCTTTAGGCCAATCAAGTGCATTTTCTTTGAGTAAAAACTAGCAAGCTTGAAGACTTTGTATACACAAAATGTTTTAAAAATGGAAGGAATTTGGCTAGTAACTGCTTTTCAGATTAAGCACACTTTTTTTCCCCCTCCACCCAGTAAGACCTAAATTAAATCTGCCTTCAAGACATGTTGATACATTGCATATTTACAAACTTAAGCAGTAGTCAATTGAAGGTGGGGAATTTTTCCTTTTTCATTAGTAGGGATGGTGTTATTTTCTAACAAGTGAAAGGAACACAGCAGCATTCATGGTATTACTAAAGAAAAAAGCAGTCAGAAGTAAGCATGAATAACAACGTTACAAATAAGTAGTGTAAGTACAGGTGTTTTCTGTGGTGGTGTTTAAAAAAAAAATCTTCTGTAATTTAGAAGAAACAGAACCTTTTGTGTTTCAGAGCGGGGTTATTTATTACAGATTTGTTTCCTAAGGAGAGGGATTTGTTGGTGGCTAAGCATGCTGCAGAATAATATAATAGTAAGTGGTGGAAAAATGTGTAACAGCAAAATAAAATACAGC